AGACAGCTCTACCTAATTCTTTTTAATTGGTTTGATTGGTTGCATAGTATTTTGTGCTAGGAGGAGCCATCATTCATTTAACCAGCCCCTGTTGACAAACACTGCATTGTTTCCATTTGTTTGCCATTATAAATAATTTTATAATTATTATACAGAGATGGGTATCACTGTGCATCTACGTGAATATATCTGTGACCCACATATGAAAGTTCTGGGTTAGAGGGCAGGTGCATGCTTTTAAACTTTTGATGGATATTGCCAACTTTCCCTCCAAAACAGGTTACACTGATTTGTAAAGAGGGTATGAAAATACTTGTTTCTCATACCTTCTCCAACACTGGCCCTCAAGAAACACTTCAGTCTTTGATAAGCTAGTGGGTTTTTTAAAGCGTCTCATGATTGTTTTAATTTGCAGTTATATTTTTAAAAAGATTTTATTTATTTATTTGACGGAGAGATAGAGAGCACAGGTAAGCAGAGCAGCAGGCAGAGGGAGAGAGAGAAGCAGACTCTCTGATAAGCAGGGAGCCCGACATGAGGCTCGATCCCAGGACCCTAGAATCATGACCCTAGTCAAAAGCAGATGCTTAACCAACTGAGCCACCCAGGCACCCCTAATTTGCAGTTTTAAAATCATGAGTCAGGTGCGTATCTTTCATGCACTGTTGGACGTCTGCATTTTTCCCAGTGAATCACCTACCCATAGTCTTGACCTGTTTTTTCTACTGATTTTTTTCTTTATTCATTTCATTTTTTTTTAAAGATTTTGTTTATTTAGAGAGAGACAGTGATAGAGAGCATGAGAGGGGAGAAGGTCAAAAGGAGAAGAAGACTCCCCGTGGAGCTGGGAGCCTGATGTGGGACTCAATTCTGGGACTCCAGGATCATGACCTGAGCCGACCGAAGGCAGTCGCTTAACCAACTGCACCACCCAGGTGCCCTTTCCTTATTCATTTCTAAAAGTTCTTTATATATTAAGAAATTACCTTTTTTGTCATCCATGTTCCACATTTACCCCGCCCCCAATTTTATTCTTTGTCTTTTGAGTGTTTTTACATCACATACAAAAGACATATTTTTAACTGTTATTTATATTATTTTTTCTTTGTCTTTTATAATTTGGAACAGATTTTTAAAGGCCTTCCCCACTCTAAGATTATAAAAGGTAGCCCTCGTTTTTTTTTAGTTTACTATTGGTTCTGTTTTTTACACTGAAAGTTTAGTTCAACTTGGAATTTATTTTGATATAAAAAGTGAGGTATGTATCTCCAACAAGCCCAGTTGTCTCAACACCACTAACTGAATGGTTTATCTTTACCGATTTGAAATACTACATTTATCAACACCCACATATATTTGGATCTATTTAAGGACTCTCTATGCTGTTATATTTGTCTGTCTACTTTAGTTTTGATTACAAATAGTTTTAGGGGCACCTCGCTGGCTCAGTCAAGAGAGCAAATGACCCTTGATCTCTGGGTTGTGAGTTTGAGCTCCACGTTGGGTATAGAGATTAGTTAAATAAATAAATAAACTCTAAAAAAGCCCTAAAAATAGTTTTAGTTGCTGCTGATTTATCATAATTTTTTTTCTTTTTTTTTTTCCTTAATCCCCTTTTATTTTTATTTTTTTATTAACATATAATGTATTATTAGCCCCAGGGGTACAGGTCTGTGAATCATCAGGCTTACACACTTCACAGCACTCATCATAGGACATACCCTCCCCAATGTCCATAACCCGGCCACCCTCTCCATACCCCCCATCATAATGGTTTTCTTTTTAAGATTTTATTTATTTATTTGTTGGAGAGAGAGAGAGAGAAAGCACAAGTAGGCAGAGTGGGAGGCAGAGAGAGAGGAGGAAGCAGGCTCCCCGCTAAGCAGAGAGCCCGATGTGGGGCTCGATCCCAGGACCCTGGGATCATGACCTGAGCCGAAGGCAGAGGCTTTAACCCACTGAGCCACCCAGGTGCCCCCATCATAATGTTTTTAAATAGGCTATGACTTTTGCTCATTTCTCTATTTCAGAGTTTTTTAGCTATCCTTGAGTGTTCATTCTTCCAGTATTTTTGTATCATTTTGACATGTTCAAAAAAAAAAAATTCTGCTGCTAGTTTGATTGGGATTGCTTCGAATGAGTAGATTACTTAGGGGAAACTGATATCTTTATGCTATTGAGTTTTCCTGCTTAAGAACAAGTTATATCTCTCCATTTATTCTTTTATGTCCTTAGTGGAGTTTAAAGCAAGGTTTATTCCTCAGCCTCTGGGGGTTTTTTGGTGCTACTGTTAAAGGACTCTTTTCTTCTATTAGTTTTCTAGCTAGCTATTGTTTGTTTACTCACGAGAAAGCTAATGATTGTATTTGTAATTAGAATACTTCCAATATTTCAAAATCAAGCATATGGTTATGCAAAATCAAGACATGGGTGAACTTTTAAAAAGCAGATTGAGTTTTTTAAACAAGATTTTTTTATTTATTCTTAGAGAGAGTGCTCACCAGAGCAGAGGGAAAGGGAGAGAGAATCTCCAGCAGCCTCCCTGCTACGTGTGGAGCATAGCGCAGGGCTCTCACAACCTTGAGAGCATGAGCTGAGCTGAAACCACGAGTCAGACGCTCCACTGACTGAGCCACCCAGTCGCCCCTGGATTTAAAACATTTGTAATAAGGGTGCCTGTGTGGCTCAGTGGGTTAAGTGACTGCCTTCAGCTCAGGTCATGATGAGTCCCAGGATCAAGTCCCCCATCAGGCTCTCTGCTCAGTAGGGAGTCTGCTTCTCCCTCTGACCTCCCCTCTCATGTTCTTTCTCTCTCTCACACATAAATAAATAAAATCTTTTTTTTTTTTTAATTGTCATAAGGGGCACCTGGGTTGCTCAGTGGGTAAGCCTCTGCCTTCAGCTCATGACATGATCTCAGGGTCCTGGGATCGAGCCCCGCATCGGGCTCTCTGCTCAGCAGGGAACCTGCTTCCCCCTGTCTCTGCCTGCCTCTCTGCCTACTTGTGATTTCTCTCTCCCTGTCAAATAAATAAATAAGTAAATAATCTTTAAAAAATTGTAATAAAATAAAACACTCAGAATTGCACATGATCACGAAGTGGTCCTAGGTATAGTAAGAGCCCATCATGTAACGTGATACTGATTTTTCCCAAGAGCTTTCACCTGGCACCTCATATCTCGCTCTCATAACCCTCCGTCCTCCTTCACAGAAACACCCCTTCAGCAGTGAACACCCAGGAACACACCTCTGTGGAAGGACAGGCAAAACAGCCCATTTTTTCTATTTTTCCCAGAACAAGGCAGAAAATATTTCTTCCAAGGCAACCATCCACGACCTGAGTGCTTTTACGATTCTACAGCAGATAATTTAATGTGCTTTTAGGAAAGATGAGAGTTAAAAACAACACAAAGAGTAATAATGGGTCAGAGGCTAGAATTATCTCTAAAATTTAAAAAAAAATTTAAAGATCAAGCATAATTCTGACTTTGCTCTGGAGTACAAACAAGTCTTTGGTCAAAGGTTTACCTGAAAACCAATCCACTCCCAGACCTGCTGCCTGGACCCAACCACAGCCTTTCAGGAGGAGAGGGGCTCTCACTGTCTTAGAACCTATATGACATCCAGCCCTCTCCCCCAAAGATCTAACCCAAGCCCAGTTCCAAACTTCCCTGACATAACCATAGCCCACCCGTACTTCTAAGAACCCGTCTGTTCCTTCTTTTTTTTTTTTTAGAATTTTTTTTTTAAGATTTTATTTAGTTATTTGACAGACAGAGATCACAAGTAGGCAGAGAGGCAGGCAGAGAGAGAGAGAGGAAGGGAAGCAGGCTCTCCGCTGAGCAGAGAGCCCGATGTGGGGCTCAATCCCAGGACCCTGAGACCATGACTTGAGCCGAAGGCAGAGGCTTAACCCACTGAGCCACCCAGGCGCCCCCCGTCTGTTCCTTCTTACCACGTCCTGCCTAGCAGCCTACAGGGACTTTCTGTGACCCCCGGCTGGACCCCTCGGCTCTGGGCCAAGTGCCAGCCCCAAGGCTCCCACTATCTGTCTGTCTAGTATCTGAGACTGCTTCCTGCCTGCCCACTTGGACAAAACGTCCAGAGTCTGTCCTCCCATATTATCTCACTGGTGTCGGAGGGGGAAAATGTATCTGCCTAACCCAGCCCTTCTAGTCCAGCCCCTCTGCGGCACCAAGTTCAACAGTGGTGACCGGCCACCACGAGAAAGCCCTGACACAGCAACGCACATCGGTGCTTGCTGTGTGCTGAACAAGTGTAAGCACCTTTTACGAATTAATTAATGAATTAATCCTTGCAACAACACCATGGGTTGGACTCTATCACCATCCCCATTTTAGGGATTTATTTTTTAAACACGGCCCAGAATTCTTACATGATCTACTCAAAATTACAGAGCTAGTCAACGGCAAGTTCAAATCCAGCAGCGTGCCTCCAGGCTCCAAACTCTTTACACTGAGGGAGAAAGAGGCGGGCCCTGGGCCTTCCAGAAAGGCAGCTACTTTGTATCCACCAAACACCTTCCAGCCTAATCCTCCTGCCCTTTTTGACTGGCCTCTGCCTGGAAGTTTGAAATGCCAATGATAGTTTGCCAGAAGTGTGCTCTTTCTCAAGTCTCACCACCCAGGGCTGCCCTTCTCACGAGAGGGACTGAACACCAGGCCCCACCCACTTTCCGAAATCACCGAAGCCCCTGTGTCACGGGCCTTGCCTGCCATCCGTCCCAGCTCATAGTCCCTTTGGCATTTTCTCTCCTCTGGCTTTATCGGAGCAACAGAGAGCCTATTCTCACCACAGTCACAACCCCTGAGCCCAGCAGTCTCCTGCCTGACCGATACCAGGACCTCATATCGTTATTAAAACAAAAAATGTCCAGTCAAGTCCAAAAGCACCAAGCCACTCACTGCACGCGGGCAATCTCAGTCTCTCTGTGCCAATCTCTCTCTCTTTCTCTCTCTTCCACCTTAGGTGCCCTCACCTGTCACAATGGGGTAGGACTGTGGTCCAGGCACGCTGCTCCCGATGTCGGCAGGGGTGGGACTGGTCAGGTTGGCCTTCATGTCGTCCAGCCCTCCAGCCAGCGAGGCCATCGCTGAATACTCAGTGGTCTGAAAGAGGAAACAAAACAGAGAGAGCTCAGTATCCAGACTCCAAAACACCTCGGCCAGACGCCAGCACCAACCACATTCTGGGGTTCAGCCACCTCACTGGGCTAGCCCATGCCGGTGCCAAGGCCCACTGAGGGCTCACAACCCCCATTCCCCGCCCCCAGTGTCGAGAAAGCAGACTCAGCTCAATAGAACAAGACGGTGTCCAAACTCGGCAGCTGTCCCTGGGGGAGGAGGTGGGCGGTCTTCAGTGCAGCCGCACTAGAATCCCAGCCTAGCTTCCTGTCACTGCAGGTTCCACCTGCCCAGTCCTGGCGGCCACAGATGGCCACTCCCACGCAGGGAGGGAGATATCAGCAACCAAGAACAAGACAGAGATAAGAGTCGTGTTGCCAAGAGGATGGAGAGAAAAGTGTCCGACTTAAATGCTCTTAAACCACAGACGCAGAATCCCAGAAACAAGGTTAAGAGGAGTCTGAGACATCATCATGCCATGCCTTCAATTCATAGATGAGCACACTGAGGCCCAAGGCAAAGAGGGTTCTGTCCGCGGCCAACAGGGCAGAATCCCAGTGCAGGGATTAGTCCCCCAAAATCTTTCACTCAAAATCCAATACAATATGACCAAATGAACCACAGTTTGGCAAGCACCTGTCTGCTGAGAACTGCGGGGCGCACAGCTTGGACTGAGCATGTTCATGCCAACTGTGGGCGCCTAGTCCACAATCGTGCTCCTTTCTTTAAGCCATTTCATGAAATCAGAGCTTGGGATGAGTCATTTCCTTGGCATCCATGCCACCATCACACCAGTCTCCAGAAGATGCCAACCTTGGTCTTCCCATTCAGGGACAGACAAAATGAGAAGCATGAATGCCAGGTCCCTTCCTTCCACCTAACCCCCAGGCTGATTTTCAGGTAAAGGAAATATTTGCAGAGGCGCCTGGGTGGCTCACTGGGTTAAAGCCTCTGCCTTTGGCTCAGGTCATGATCCCAGAGTCCGGAGATCAAGCCCCACATCAGGCTCTCTGCTCAGCGGGGAGCCTGCTTCCCTCTCTCTGTCTCTGCCTGCCTCTTTGACTACTTGTGATCTCTGTCATCAAATTAATAAATAAAATCTTTTTAAAAATATTTGCAAACACCTAAGCCAAAGTCTTGGGTGTGCATATCAAATTCTGGTATAAGCAGTTCTCTCCAGAACCCTGGTCTCGCCTACGGAAAGCACATCCCTATCTGTCCAGGCTTATGTCCTTGGCAGACAGAGACAGAGAAGCAAGCAGTCTTCTGAGAGGAGATGCAGGCATCTTGGGTAGGAGGCTGAGGACTGAGCCATAGGGTATAGAACCGGGGGAGCCCCTTGGCCAGTGGCAGGCAGGCAGGACTCAGACACAGGTACATTCCTGCTGCTTCTCTTGGAATATGAGTTAGAAAGAATTCTTGGGCAGCTCAAAGTGGGGTGGTTGGCAGCCGTGAGTCAGCGAGGTGCTGCAGGCCCAGGCACCCTGCCGTGAGCCTCCCTGAGGACATCTTTGTTTGGAGCCCCTGGGCTCTCCATCGTCTCCAGCTGAGGCTGATTCTGAAACATGCAGAGAAGAGCACAGGCTTCTGAGGAGGAAGGATGAGAGGGAGACACGCCTCCCTGCCATCAGGAATCACTGTAGAGCTGTAGTAATTAAGACAGCGTGGGATTGGCATGGGGCAGATAAATAGATCCGTGAAACAGAAGCGAGTCCAGGAGCTGATCTGTGCATATATGGAAACTTGATATATGAGAGAGGGGATGTACAAATCAGCAGGGAAGGATGGCCTCTGATCAACAGTGCGAGGGGGACCCGGTTATCCGTTCAGAAAGAAGGGGGGATAAAGAAATTAGATCTTTACTTCACACCAGACACAAAAATCAATTCCAGGTGGATTGGAGACCTAAACAGGAAAGGCAAAGTCATCTAACGTGGTTGGCTCTAGGTCCAGCCAAAAATCCTTGGGGAAAAGCCTGCCCTTTAAAAGGAAACTAGTGGGCGCCTGGGTGGCTCAGTGGGTTAGGCCGCTGCCTTCGGCTCAGGTCATGATCTCAGGGTCCTGGGATCGAGTCCCGCATCGGGCTCTCTGCTCAGCCAAGAGCCTGCTTCCCTCTCTCTCTCTCTCTCTCTGTCTGCCTCTCTGCCTACTTGTGATCTCTGTCAAATAAATAAATAAAATATTTAAAAAATAAAAAAAATAAAAGGAAACTAGTGGTCCTGGGATAATCACACAGGTTTCTTGGTCACTGTAAGGACAGCAGTGGGTCCCAGTTATCCTTCTGCCCTGATCTGATGCCTCCTCCTCCAGGAAGTCCTTCCTGACTACCACTCCTTAGGAGGCAGGAGACCTGCTTGTGCTCTGCTGGCCCCACCAAGTGGTCATGCCAGGACAAGAAGAACCACAATCTTCACACCCATGTCAAAAGCTCACATTTATTGATCCCTTGCTCTGCGTCAGGAGCTTTACCTGAATGTTCCATTTAATCCTCACAGTAACTCCATGAAATAGGTTCTATGTTATTCCCATTTTACAGACGATGAACTGAAACCTATGATAGAAGCGAAGTAGCTTGCCTTAAAGTCGTACAACTTCTAGGTGCCACAGCCAGGATTCCAATCGAATCCACCTGACTCCCAAGTCTTGAAAATGACTCTAATGATTTTCATACTGTGAGTCCTGACCTGTAAACACATGTGAAATCAATCTGCTAGTGCCATTATTATAAAAAAATGAAATTAGAATAGACTAGAACAGAAAATATCTAAGGTTCACACACACAGCAAGAGTAAGTCCTATTTTAGAAATCTTTCACGTATAAGTGGATACAGGTCTACTAAGTAGAAGTGAGAATATGTTTCTTGCTTCAGGTCAGGACCGGGAAAGTTTTCATTCCATGCAGCGAGGAGCTGTTGGGCGAAGATTACTGTCTAGACTTCCTCCCCCACCAAATGGGACCTGGTCATGGCATTAGCCTCCTAATTTGCTAAAAAAGGAACCTGGAAGTCAGGCTCACTGGAACAGCTCCTTCAGTGCATTGCCATGAGCAAAAAAGGAGGTCAAAACAATTCTGTAAGGGTCTCTTTCAAGATGGTATCTTCTGGAGCTCCTGGGACTCTGGGGTAGAGGATAGGGCTCCTTCCTCTCTGTGCTCCCGAGTGCCCTTGTGGAATAATGAATGCATAATGAATGTTCAGTGTTTATTGAGCCTTTCTTGTGCACAAGATGGCAGGTGAAGACCAGACATGTTCTCTGATTCTCAGCCACAAACCCCAAGGGAAAAGACACATGGCCCAGAAGCTTTATCCAAGAGGAGCTGGAGCACAGAACCATTCGTTGACTGTGGAGTGAGAAGTGGTCAGGACAGGGTTCTTGAGCAGGTGGTACTGAACCCGGGTCTGGGCGATCCCCAACCCCCAAGGCTGGTAAGTGCTATAGGAAGACTCAGAGGTAAGAGGACAGGAGGGATCTGGAAAACAGGGCACATGCCCATCGTTGAAGGAAGTGAAAGTAGAAAAAGGCAAATATGGAAAGATAGTCGAGCTGGGATTCGACTGTGAAAGGCTTGCACAGGGAACATATAGATGAAAACATGAATGAGTGACCCTTAGGCGGGCCAGGCAGTAATCTCAACCAAGTGCCAGCATCCCTGCGTCCCTCCCTACCCCACTGCCAGACCTACTCTCTTCCTGGACTCCAGGCTGGGCAGCTGGGTCTGCAAGGGAAAGCTTTCATCTCCCTCAAGAAAGCAGAACCAATCTGGGTTTAAGAAAATCGCGAGGGTAGCCAACTGGGATATTCTGCCTCTTAATTTCTTTGATGTCCGGTTGGAAATGTCTTCTAGGTATTTGATTTTGTTCTGGTCAATAAATTGATTGTCAAAGTTTGTCCAGTCACCTTGATAGTTGGGTTTGGATCACCTTTCCAAGATAAAAATCTGTAACTTGTGTTACACATGTGGTAGGAGGTCCAAAAATCCAGTCTCCCAACCACAACTGGCTGCCGGAAGGTAGAGTGAACTTCCCTAAAGAGTGGGGATCCTGGGGACAGGAGACTTGGAAACCGGTCCTCAGCTATCCTTGGTTATCTGTACCTCCCACCACCACCACCACATGGTGGTTTGGTCCAAGTCTAGACCCTTCTTTTGTAGGATTCCATGGCTGTTATTCTGCTCCTGCATGAGCCAGGGGACACCATCATTTAGTTGTGGTGTGTAATTATTCCCTAAGTCCTCATCACTGCCCGTCCCTTGGGGCTGCTCATGATTCTTTCCAATCTCCTGGGCTCCCTTCCTCCCACCGCTGCTCCTCAGCCACTCCCAGCAGTCCTACCCTGGAGGACTCATCTCATTCGTCACGTAGAGAACTCCTACACTGTCCACAAGACCCAGCTCCAATGTCACCTCCTTGGTGAAGCCATTCCTGAGTCCCCCACTTCTACAAAGAAATCATGAATCTGTCTATGCTTCCCTACTTCCACAGACCTCCATTACCATTCTTCTACCATATTTAATGGCCATTTGTCGATCTCCCTCTAGGCTGCCTTGAGAGCACAGAATAGGGAACATTCCTAGAGCCCCCTAAGCACATTAGCCACAACACTTAAAAAGTTAACTGAGGGGGCACCTGGGTGGCTCAGTGGGTTAAAGCCTCTGCCTTCGGCTCAGGTCATGATCCCAGGGTCCTGGGATTGAGCCCCACATCGGGCTCTCTGCTCAGCAGGGAGCCTGCTTCCTCCTTTCTCTCTCTTTGCCTGCCTCTCTGCCTACTTGTGATCTCTGTCTGTCAAATAAATAAATAAAATCTTTAAAAAAAAAAAGTTAACTGAGAAGTGTTTGAACAAGAAGCCTAAGTGATATGCTAACTTTCCCCTGCCCCACCCCCAACTCTCCCCTCATCAAGTCAGGCGACCAGAAAACAACGTCCTCGGCCACCATGAGTTAAAACCTCTGGGGAAGAGCTTTCACTCTTCTGTGAGAAAATATCATGCATTCAACATTTGTTAGAGGAAATAAAAGAGCCATATGAAGAACTTTTTTTTTAAACCTCTGAAGACGCTGCCCATTAGAATATTCAAAGTCCTTGCCAGTCTCTCCCCAGTTCAGCACCCCTGATGGGTTTTTCTCCTACTGAGTAGTTAACCTGCCTGTGGTTGAGCAAGAAGAACCCTGGAAACCACGGCTTGCCCGTTTTTGCTTTGGCTGCCAAGAAGCTCAGTCAAATTCAGTGTTAACCACCACAACCACAACATTGCTGGCACCTGGAGCTAGGACCTTCCCTCTTTTGCCACGTCATTTCTGAACTTTTTCTCAGCCTTAACTTACTAACTTAGGTATGTGTAATTGTTTACTTTGCAGGACATCTCAGGTCCTTTGTGAAACTGGAAACTGGATGAGGTAGAAAGAATGACAGATAAAGGAAGATGGAAAGGAAGGTCAGGAGACAGAAAGAGAAGAGAGAAGGCATTACCGGTGCCTCTGGTAACCGCGACAACGTACTTCCACTTCTCATAGTTATTTGGGGGACCAAGGGCTGAACTGACGGAACACGGTGGTCACGCGTGCGTAAGCGTGTTGGTGCTCCCACATGCTCGGGAACAGGGCCCCCTCTCCTCCCACCACCGACAATCACAGGCAATAGCTGTGTTCCACACTTCTAACTTCTCTGAGCCCTCGGGGTTCTTTCTTAGGATGTTATTTGGGGCTTCTGCTCCCTTCCCATCAGAGCCGCCCTGGTGCCGTCCTTGACCATGACCCAGAAAGAGAAATGAACTGAGGACAGCAATTCACAGACTGTCCACTCCAGGGCAACCAACGAGGATAAATTCTGCCTATTGCCCCAGAGTCTCTTGAGGCCTCAAGGTCAAAGCCAGCAGGTATGGACACCCTCCTCACAGATACCATGCTCCAGATGATGGAAAGTCTTGAACTCTCCAGTGTCTGAGCTAGACAGATTCTCAGAGTCATCTTCTTCCCCAACATGGAAAAAACTGAGGTACAGGCAGGGGAATGGACTTCCTCAGCTAATTTTTACCTGATTCATATATAGCCTTTGCCCCTGTGGTAGAAAAAACTGTGAGCCAGGAGCAATAGCACGGGGTTCTCAGCCCAGCTCCGCCTCTCTCTCTCCTGTGTGACCTCAGGCAAACCAGGCCAGCTCTTGGGGCCTCATTTTCCTTATTAATATAATGAGATTTGAGTCAAACTCCTTGCTGCCTGCCTGCCAGGATGGGTATGCAGGTCCTTCAGATAAGGGCAGGGATGGTACTGGAAGCTAAGCCACACAAGGGGAAAGGAATCCTAGGAGGGACTCCAGGAGCCATGTGCCCCGGGAAAGTGGGTGCTGGGTGTCATTTGGGTCCCTAGGAAATTACCTGGAAAAGGACTGCCTGGGGCTGCACCAAGTATTGTCTCATCAGCACGGGGCACCACTGCCATAGCATGGAGGAGAAAAGAAACACAGACACGTGAGAAGGAGGGCAGCACGAAGGAGGGCAGGGCATGGGGACAAGGCTGCAGGGCTGGCTACCTCAGACAGCTACGTCAGCCCAAGAGGCTTCCCCGTCACCTGCGGGGCTCCTCCAGGCTTGCTGCCTCCAGCCTCAGGAGGTCCTTGGAAGCTGGGCCAGCGCCAGGTCAACCACACCCATCCTGAGGGACCAGACACCTGCCCACAGACACACCTACCCAGCGGGGTACACGAACTGGAGTTGGGGAGCTGTATCCCCAGGGCCTGGTCTGATGACCTGAGACTGAGGAGGCAGATGGGTCTGGATGCCTCAGGCAGCTGGGTTTGAGCTGGGGCCGGAGGACAGTGGTCTCCCTTCCTGGCCTCTGCTTCCCTAGCTGTCTGAGGACTTGCATGTGATCTCCAAATCCCCTGCCACCGCTGATGGCCCTTTGCCCCTCTAACTGGTCACCTGACAAAGTAGGGATTCCCTCTTCAACAGATGAGCTCCAAGACAAGAAAAGAGAGACAGAAGGGATCCTATAGGTTAGAGGAGACTTGAGATGTATCAATGGGTCGCAGTGTGGACCCTGACACCCACAAATAGACTGTAAAAGATATGACTATAAAAAATATTATGACATTATGAAACTGTTATAAACGCACACACAGATTGTATATTTGAGATATCTATGGACATTACAGATTTGCTAACTTTTTAGGTGTGATAATGATATCATGGTTATGCTTGTTAAGGTCTTACCTTTAAAAGAGTCATTCTAAAACATTTACAGATAAAGTGATAGGATGTCTGGAGTCAGCTTCAAAACGAAGGTAACAAAGTTCAGTTGTTAACAAATTGTGGTCTAACTATGTGACGGGATACTACTCCACAGTACAAAGGAAGAAGGCACTGAGGCATGCTGTAGTGCAGGCGAGCCTAAAAGCATGCTAAGTCAAAGACGCTAGGTCTGGGGCACCTGGGTGGCTCAGTCAGTTAAGCATCTGCCTTCGGCTTAGGTCATGATCCCAGGGTCCTGGGATCGAGTCCCTCATTGGGCTCCCAGCTCAGTGGGGAGCCTGCTTCTCCCTCACCTTCTGACCCTCCCTCCTGCTTGCGTCCTCTCTTTCCCTCAAATGAATAAATTTTTAAAATCGAAAGAAAGAAAGAAAGAAAGAAAGAAAGAAAGAAAGAAAGAAAGAAAGAAAGAAAG